GAACTCATATGTTGCTGTTAAGAGGATATCGAGGGGATCTAAACAAGGACCCAAGGAATATGCATCGGAAGTAAGGATTATCAGTCGAGTTAGGCATCGGAATCTTGTGCAACTGATTGGTTGGTGTCACGAAAGAAAGTTCCTACTTGTGTACGAGTTCATGCCTAATGGTAGTTTAGATTCTCATTTGTTCGAAGAAGAAAAGTTGTTAACTTGGGAGGCAAGATATAAAATTGCTCAAGGTTTGGCCTCTGGGTTGCTCTATCTACACCAAGAATGGGAACAATGTGTGCTGCACAGGGATATCAAATCCAGCAACGTTATGTTGGATTCAAATTTCAACGCAAAACTTGGGGATTTTGGGTTAGCAAGGCTTGTGGATCACGGAAAACAGTCGCAGACCACAATCTTGGCTGGAACCATGGGCTACATGGCTCCGGAATATGTTAATACAGGAAAGGCTAGCAGGCAGTCAGATGTCTATAGTTTTGGAATTGTTGCTTTGGAGATTTCGTGCGGGAGAAAACCCATCGATCCAAAGTTTGGAAGCTCTAAAGTCAATATGGTTGAGTGGGTTTGGGAGCTTTACGGAGAAGATAGAGTCATTGAAGCAGCTGACCCAAAATTGTGTGGGGATTTTGATGAGAAACAAATGGAGTGCTTGATGATTGTTGGGTTGTGGTGTTCTCATCCAGACTACAATATGAGGCCTTCAATACAACAAGCGATTCAAGTGCTTAACTTCGAGGTTCCGTTGCCGAATCTCCCATCAAAGATGCCGGTGGCCACCTATTTTGCTCCTCCGAAATCGCTCTCAATGATGTCTAGAGATACTAGTGGTTCTCTAGGAGGACAAATTGAGTTTTCATCAGGCTGTGGTTACAACACTAATTCCTCACAGTTTAGCGCATCTTCTTCTACCACAAATTCTCATCCAAAAATTCCACTCGGGTAAGAAATAAGTCTAACTCAATAATTATGATAACCTGGATCCTAAACATTTGGAATTTTTTTGAATTTCAATGTTCTATGTGGTGATTGCCTGAATGGATATTCTTTGACCAGATCATGATGCGTTGTGAGGAAATACATTTTGATGTAAAAAAATGAAGGGATGACAAGGATGAAGATGGCGCCTTGCTCTTTCTCTGTGGTTCACCAATTAAGAACAAGTCTTACAGATCCCTGTTTCACTGAAAGACTTCCTCTTCATGATTTATGACATTGTGATTAAGATATTTGTTAAAGTTTTAAGTGTTGTTGGATTTGTCTGCCATATTCTGTTTTTAAGAGTTATCAAAGTTGTCATGTGTTTGATTTGGAAAGTGCAAAAATTGATTGTATATAAGAATTTGGAAGGAAGCATATATAATTGGGTAATTTTCACTTTACCTCACCACCATACCCTCTCGTCGCAGCCCATCACCTCCCCTTTCTCTTTCTCTCACCCTCTGTCTCTCTTCCCTATGTCAATAAAGACATATTCATATCCGCCGTCAAGTCCCACCTCAGAAGCTCCCTCCTTCTCTCCCACCCCAGATCCATAGCCGCCATAGCCCGAGGCCTCAACCACTGGCACAAGACCCCCCACCTCAACTTCGATCGCCACATCATCGTCGTCCCCAACCCCGTCACGGCCGCATCGCATTTTGAACGCCAGACCGCGGGTATGGTTTGTGGGTTCTGCTAATTGGGTTTGTAGGTATGGTTTGTGTTAGCTTGATTTTTGTAGTGGAGTTTGCATTGAGGATCTTGTTGGTTTAGCCACACTCCCCATAATCTCCTAGGGTGATGAAATTCAGGGCGGAAGATTGAAGGTTACTGGACTCTCGCACCCCAACTCTAAGAAATTGAAATTGAAGGTTAGAGCATCTGACAGTGAGGGAGAAAGGAGAAGTTGGGGTGTGGGTGCTGGTTCCAGCAGTGCAACCAAGGGGAGGGCTTTGTCCGGGTGGGACCCAGCAGACTGGGCTGGCCCGAGTTTTCCCCTGGCGTCCTATTTTTTTTAAAGTTTTTTAGGTTTTAGACATAAAAAAAATTTCACTTTTGGAAAAAGCCAAAGCTTTTTCAAAAAAGACAAAAAAACCACTCAACTCTCAAATCAAAGACATGCAAATGTATTGGATTCCTTAGGAAATCTAAAAATAAATAAGGGCATTTTTGTCCATTTTTGCTTCTTTTTAAAATTTTCTCTCTCATTTTGCTTTTTCCAAAATGTCCGTTTTTTTTAACGTTGGTGCAAAAATTTGATCTCGCTGCTACAGTGCCGCCAACGGCTCTCTTCCACGTGTCGCATTCTAGGCTCTCTGATCAGATTTTTTCCTTTAATCCAACGGCAGTTAATTTTTGTGCAATAAAAACATGAAAAAAAATACCAAAAAATTACTGAATTTTTTTTCTATAATTACCAACCAATACTCGATATGAATTTTAAAATTTATCTGAAATTTGAAATCGAAAATTTTATCCGATATGAATAATATTGACACGTAGGAACTCAAAAAATTTATAGGAAAATATTATATAAATTAATTGTTTAGGTAAAAACAGTTGTGAAAAAAAAAAAAAAAAAATGAAAAGTATTTGTCATGGCAAATGACAATTGCTAAAAACACACATTGGTTTTTGTAAGAGCAGCTACTATTCACGTGAATAGTAGCTACCCTACCCCCCGCCATGGCAAGGGACAAACTGTTGGAAGTGCTCTTAGGGTGGGTCGAGTTGGGGTGGTTGTACGGTAGGGTGGGAGGGGAGGAGGTCGTACAGTGAAAGATTTTTTAAAAAGATTTATCAATTTTTATTTTTATTTTTGAAAATATATATACTTTTTATATTTTTTATTGATTAATTAAATTAATTTTCATTTTGTCAAAACCACGTGATATCATATGAGTGGGTCTACGTGACATATTTATTATCAGACTTATAAATGGCAAGAGTAACGATACATATGAAAGTGGTAGGAAAACCAACTTTGTGTATGCGATTTTGATGAAAAAAATTTGATATATCAAACTCTAAAAATCGATAAACTTTACCATAATAAAGTGAAAATTACCCTACATAACTT